GGGTTCTCACCAACAAAACTATCATAAAAGAATATATATTGTGTGATTTGCATGTGATGCATGGAAATGACTTTTATGTTTTACTAATTTTTTTTTTTTAGAAAAAGTCCTCCTTTATTATTGTTTTACATTACGAATATAAAGTGGAACTTAAAGATTTTACGGTATTAAAAAAAATATTTTAGAATGTAGATTTTATTTCGATGTCTGTAAGAGAAAGGACGAAATAAATGCAAATGATATTCTAGTTATTCTGTGCAACTGTGGATAACATTTTAATGTTTATTAAAGTTTTTGTTCAAATTCTAGCTATGTAATACCAAAATCTACAGATGTTGTAACTATAAAGGTAATCAATTTATAAAATAAAACACTGCAAAATGATATGAATATTACATACACGTCTTTTTTTGTCGATAGCAAAATAATGTTCGCAAAAGATATATGTATGGAAAAAACCAATAAAGAAATGGTTAAGAAAGAGGCATCTTAGAATATCAATGTAGAAAAAACTCACGAGACAAGACATGAGACATGACACACAATATATGGCTGATGACACTGTAACGAAAAAGCTAACAAAAGTAGATGAATAAAAGCTGATCGTTCACCAAGACTTAACGAAGACCACGTTGCTAAGTTTCAAAGCTTTATAGGGTGTGGGTAAGGATATAGATGATACAAAAATAATAGATCAGAAATATTCAGATAGATAAATAAGTAAGTAAAGCTAATAATAAATAGATAACAGACTGACAAAATAAAAACAAGAAACCCTGAATACAGCAACTGCAACGGAAAATGGTCGCCAATGACTCTTAACCTGAGAGTAATAAAGAACTCGAGATTACATAAATGAAACATTTCTCTCAAAGACATCAGAAAAACACGTCAGCATGCATTTCGATATATAACCAACAACTGACTGCTTCGACTGAAATTGGGTTTTGCTCTTTTATAACTTTTCAAAGCTTATTGAAAAAATGGGTGGTTCTGATCCCATAAGAATATCTTATACCTTCTAACTCTAATTATAAGCCAAAACTAATTACAATTTAAGATTGATTACGTACGTTAAACGCTTGAATAAATAAAGCACGTGCATGAGAAAGTATGAATACTTGTTGTCAGAGGGTTAACGTGACAATATAGTCACAGAATAATAAACAATCAGAAGGGCCACTCTCAGCTGCCGCCTTTGAAGTTTTTCAGCACGCGCGCCATGTTTTAGGAGGACACAAACATATGATTTGTGAGGTTATGCAATTGTTTACATTTATGTTTAATTATATTATATTTATGTTATTATATTTAAAACTGTTAATATAATTGTATAGTATGTCTATGATTGCCGTAAGTCAAATAAACCTGGTTTTTTTTCCATGCACACCACATAAACAACACTGGTTCCCTTTAAAATCCTCGTAAAACATGGCGGAACGTCTGCGCGAAGGAGATGCGCGTACTTAATTTTCCGTGGAGAGTGGGCATTCTGTTTGTTTATTATTCTGTGATATAGTCTCGTCAATGGTTTTAAATTTATAGAAATTGACACGTCACAACATCTGTCACCACTATGATACACGACAAATGAGAAATGAATAAATATATCGATTGTAAATATAAACGGAAACCTCGTTTTTTTAAAATAAAAATAAAAAATTAACATACAGGTGCTGGAAAAGCTCTAGAAACAAATGTTGACGGATTCAAACACATTTTTTGTGCTAATTGTCATCCTCTAATTTCTCCTGCATAGTTAATAAGATCTTCACTTCATCTGAGGTTTTTCTCTTATTCCTTTATATGAGATTAACGTCAACAAATTATCTGCTTATTTTAAAGTCTTATCATTTTTTGTAAATACTTTTGTTCCTCTTTGAATTATATCCTATAGTTTTTTGTGAAATTGTAGTTATGGTTTACTTTCCATTGTGGTGTAAGTGTGTTACTGCAACTTATTTGATTTACAACATAATTGTGGCTTGTAACAATATTTATAAACATCTTTCCAATACCATTGTTTTCAAAAGAACATTACACTGATATTTCAAATTTTGTGTACAGTCCACAATACTTTTTTAATCGGTAGTCGTCTTTTAATGTCTTCCATCTTTCATATATTTTTTATAATAGTTTTGTATTCAGTATTATGTAGTATTGGTGTAGATATTATCTTTACGAATAGACTTTTGTAAGATATTTATATTTACTTTTCATTCATAACTTTATTTAATTGTAATTTGTATTCACTAACTTGTAATTCTTAGATAATCCTCACATTTATATCATTAACGTATTTTTCTGTTTCAACGTTTTGTCTTCTCTAACTGTTTATTAAGTTCCTAGTTTTCCTTGACTATTACGAGCAATTACCAGACCGTGTTATAGAAGCACATAAAGTACTATTTCGAAAGTGAATTGTTATTATTTAAAGAAATTAGCAGAACTGTTATCTTGTTATTCTATTTAGGATAAGAGTTAATGTACAAAGTTTTCGAAAAGTACAAAGATAAGGAGAAAGTATTTACTATATATATATATATATATATATATATATATATATATATATATATATATATATATATATATATATCATCATTCAATCTTCGCTTATCGATTGCTGGACATAAATCTCCCTCATAATTTTCCATCTATGTCGATCTTGTGCCTCTTGCATCCAATTTCTATGACAACGTTTTAGATCGTCAGTCCAACGTGTTGGTGGACGACCTCTGCTTCGGTAGGTATCATCTCTTGGTCTCCATTCCAGCATCCGCTTTGTCCATCTATTATCTGTCATTCGATCCACGTGACCTGCCCAGTTCCATTTCAGTGTTGCTACTCTCTCTACTGCATCAGCTACTCCTGTTCTTTGTCGTAGCTGGCGATTTGGGATCTTGTTGCGTAGTGAAACGCCCAACATACCACGCTCCATCGCCTTTGACACACACGGATCTTTTGAACTATTCTCCTTGTCATGGTCAACGTTTCCGCACCGTAAGTCGACACTGGCAAAACACACTGATTAAAGGATTTTCTTTTAAGACATATTAGTATATCAGACGATTTGAAAATATGGTTCAGCTTGCCGAAGGCTGCCCAAGTCTGTCTTGCACGACGGAGAAGCTCAACGATTTGGTTATCTTTTCCTATGCTGATTTCATGACCTAGGTATTTATAGGCCATTACCTGGTCTATGGATTTTGTTTCTATGCATATATCTTCGCTGACTACAAGATTTGTCGTCATCTGGTTTTAGATATATTTATTTTCAATCCTCCTTCTAGCGAGGAAAGGTAGAGCTGATTTAAAAGTTCTTTGCTATCAGCTATTAGTACAATATCATTTGCAAACCTTAGATGGCTAAGCTTTTCTCCATTTATGTTTATGCCCTTGTCGGTCAGTTTTGCCCTTTTACATATATATTCCAAAAGCGTAGTGAACAGTTTCGGCGATGTGGTGTCCTCCTGGCGTACTCCACGTTGTATAGGGAATTTCTGGGTTTGACGATCACCTACTTGAACACTGGCTGTTGCGTTTTGGTATATGTATTATATGTAATTATATTTATATACCGATAGTTAATTCGGCATTCTGTCAAGGCTTCCAACATTTTTTGTTGATTTTCGGTGTCGACGGGGTACCCCGCAAACTTTTAGGTTATCCAAGTTTAGTTTTTTTTGTTTTGGATATTTTTTTTGTCTGTCGACTGATTTTACATCTAAACTGTGTCAGTACTAGTAAATAGTCTGCATCGCAGCTTGCTCCACGCATGATTTTTACATCTAACATACTTGTAGCTATTCTTTTTTAACCACTATTACAATCTTTAGCTATGAGAAATATTTTTTGAGCCAAAAAATGCTCTAGACTTTAAAACCATTTTAAAATATATTCTTCAAAGATCTGAAAATTCCATATTCTATATCTGAGAATAGACAACGTTTTTCATATCTTTCCCGTCTAGCTATAAAATATTGTCGGAACCACCCTCTATACTTATCAAACGTTGTCTTATCAAAAATGTATACTATATTAACTGAATATAGAAATAATAAGGCCATCAATAAAATATTTTTGTAAGAAATAAAAGTGAAAGACTTATTCGTTACTAAAAATATCTAGCAAGGAAATGTCGATATTGTTCAAAAATGCTCGTATTATTATAATACTATCCGAAAGAAAAATACTTTAAATATTTAAATACAACATTTATTATGGAATGTTGAAACAAAGTCCAAAAGAAATGTAAAAGCTTTTAAAAAATATTTTAAATTTCTTCGAAAACTTTTTTATATATTATCACAAACGGCAATATATCATACTGACAATTCATTCTTATCACTAAACATACTTTACGAATTAACGTTTATAAACTAAAATAATTTAAATATATATTATCAACACGTGGTGTTTATAAGTAAGTAAGTTGTACGTAACCCATAGCTCATTATTTCGTATTTGCTCTTTTGTTATTCTAATATTACTTTGTTAGGTACCTATTCTTTTACTAATTCCTAAATAGTCAATTTGATTTTTCCTAGCCCATGCACGTATTATTACTATTAATTAATGCGAATTAACAATACTTAATGCTTCAAAGACAAAATTTGATAAAAGATGTAAAGAAGAGAATATATGACATTTGTAAAAATTGGTATGTCAAGAAACGGATTAAGGATTTAAAACTATTAGACACATCGTAGGAAATTAAAAAATAAAAAAGTAGACGTGGTAGACAACATAGTTATAAAATATTTCTAGTCAAAATTAAAATTTTAATATTGAATTTAAAGAAGAAGAAAAAGAAAGATAATAAAAATATAAGGAAGGAAAATAAATGGACAGGATAAATACAGAAGAAACGGAATCAAACCAAAAAAAACTTCATTACTCAGTATGGATTCATGAATAACTTATGTGACTTGATGCCAAAATAATATTAGCTATGGGTTACTAGTTTTCTTTTTGTTTCAGTTAATGAATAAATCACAAACCTATGATTGCTTATTTTTAATGTTAGCATCTTTCCTAACATCTTCAGCCATATCTTTGTCGTCCCATCCCCAAACGCAGTCGTCATAGAACTGGTTTTTGTCAAGGTTTTTCTCTACACCAGCGTTAATGTCGATCTTACCGTCTTTCCACGTACCGTCACCGGTTCTGTGTGCCCTCTTCCTTACCATTTCGGCGGAGACAGTTTTCAGGTCATATGCTTGACCGATGTGTGCCATGAAGTCCAATAAGGCGGTGGTGAAGTTCATTCTGTAGTTGCCAAGTTCGGCCGCTTTGTAGTCCCAGGGAAAGGTGTGGTGGTAGTTGTGCCAACCTTCTCCAAAACCGATGGCCGAAACGAAACGGTTTTCTACTGGATTGATTGATCTAAAAAAAACATTACTGTTTCAAAGTGTACTATTACTTTTTTAAATCTCTAGAGAGTCTTTTCCACCTTCAACATATATTTTATGTTCCAAAACTACTTAAATTATTAAAATTTTGAATAATTAAACTAACTTCTACAAAGTTTTAGCATATAATGTCGTAAATTTGTTTTAAATGGGATCATATGACAAGTAGTATCTGATTTGAAGTGTATGGTTATACAGACTACTACTAAAGATAAGCTGGGTAGATACAGTTAAAATTAAAAAAGTCGTTCATTATCATTAAAGGTGTTACAGCCCTATAGTAGAGTTTCGATCTTGTAAAGTGTATTTCGCTAGTCCCATCTCCGTCTACACTACCATTTCATCTAAGTTTTGGGGTACCTATCTGTCTACTTCCCCCAGGCTTGTAAAAAAAGGGATCGTCTGGGAGAGTTGGTCTGCTGTGATCTTGCCAGATATCCTGCCCATGTTAGCCTTCTTATTTTTATGATACCACATTTTTACCACCAAATGTATATATTTGTATTTATGGTATGTATTTATGGTATATCTCATATCTTCTCCTTTAACTACCATTTTTACAAATGCCACCAAGGTGATCAGATATGTTTCTGGCTTTATTGCTGGATATTTATGCCATAACTTTGATTTTAGATCTATCAAAATTGGGTCTAGATCACCTGCGTGGCAAAAATTTGTAAACATTGATTAAATAGATTTAATCTGTTATCTATTTTGGACTCTTTAACCGTCTTTTCCAAAACTGTTTTGAAAAGAAGCATGTCCATCTGCCTTGTCGCAGTACGATATGTGTTTTAAACCAGTATGATTGTTTGTTCTGTACTTCTATTTTGCAAATAACGCATTGTAGCCCTTTGTCTATGGCTCATACAAGTTACATAGTAAGGTGGTAGATGTCGATATAATATGCACTTAAGCGGTACTATAGCATATTCGAAAATATTTTGTAATCTTTATTAAGGAGAGTTAGTCCCCTATAGTTTCTACGTTCCAATTGATCACCTTTTTGTGTAGTAAAGAAGCAATTACAGTTTACTACTCTTCTGGGATTTGCTCTATATTCCAGACTATTATGAATACTTTCTGTATTTTATAAGTAAGACTACCGCGTTTACAATGAATAAGTTGTGGGTGTAGCCCCTTACTTCCTGGGTATTTGTTATCTTTTAGGTAATTTAGTACATACTGTACTTTAAGAATTAAAGAAGTTATATTGGTGTATTGTTTTTGCTTCTGGAGTTAATTGATTTCGATCTACTTTGTTGGAAAGTAGTTCTCTATGGTGTTATATGTCTATAGTTTAGTATGTACCTCATTATCATTATGTATGTTTAGTTTTAGTTTAACTTATTTTCTTGTATTATCTAGGTATTCTTTTATAACAATTTCTGGTTTCATTTTAATTTTTTGAGATCTCAACTTCTTTCAATATTCCATTTTTAACACATAGTTTTTTTTTCGATGCAGGTACTTCTCTTTCCTCCTAAGATCTTTATAATTTTTTTGTTTTTCTCGAATTTTTATTTGATGTATAAATTCCTTCTTTGGATAATATCCTTACATTCAGCATCGAATTAGTCATTGGTGGTACTGAAATTTGACTACATCGTTATTTAAAGCTACTCTCAATAAAGTCATGATAAAGATTTTGAGCCATGATGCTCTTTTTCTATTTCTATTTTTCAGACTGTTTTATAATGTGATCAAAATATCCTAACTTGCTTTTTTTAATACATTAAGCAGTTGTGTTGTTTAGTACATTCGTCTAAGGACTCCCGTACTTAAGCTCTCCTACACCAAAATGATATCAAATGATTAATAATGATCATGGAACTAGAAGAAAAGATATTGAATAGATTTCTGATAATGTGGAGTAATTTGGAATTCATGCATACTTTTTTTATATCTTCTAAATTCATATTAAAAAATATTGTTTATTGCACGTGGTCATTTTAAACTTTATTTCTGTACATATATCTATATGTGAATGCAGTTTTCGGAAAGTTGAACCATGTTTTCAAATCATCCGACCTCCCTTAAAAGAAAAACCTTAAATCAATATATGTTGTCGGTGTTGATTTACGGAGCGAAAACTTTGGCCATGACAAGCAGTACAATACAAAAGATCTATGTGTCTCCAGGGTGATGGAGCGTGCTATGTCTCTCTACAAGACAAAATCCCAAACCGCCAGTTGCGACGAAGATCAGGAACGGTTGATACTGTAGGGACAATGACAGCACTTAAATAAAAGTGAGCAGGTCACGTGGCACGAGTGACATATATAACAGATATTCAAAGCGGACACTGAAATGAAGTCTGAAACACGATGGACTGATGATTGAAAACGCTAGAAAAACTGAAGCAAGGGGCACAAAATTGAAACTGATTAAAAATTATACGAAAGATCCAGATCCAGAATTTTGTTGTTTTATATTTCGTTATTAGTAGAATATTCAATAGGTCAAAGGCCACTATACTCACCCATCATATGGCTTGTACCCCCACAAGTGTGCAGCGCTGTTGACTGACCAGGTTCCATTCAATTGCAACACAAATCTGAATATGCACACGAAGAAAGACATCATAAAGTCTTCATTCCAGAAGTAGTATGGCACATAGGTTGGCATTAGGAAAGTTAAAAAGGTTACCAGTGGGATATAGTATCTGAAAACAAATATGGCGAGTTATTATACAGCTACACATTTAAATACGTACAATTACATACGCCCTGTATAAGAATATAGTTTAAAAAATATAGTTAAATATTACAAAAATAAATCAAAGTTTTCTATATAATTTATGGACTCTGGTGTGCAAGCAAAAGCAGACTATTCTCCGTATGGTCGTTGATTGATCTATTATGTGGTTAAATGTTTAGACATCTCCGTAATCATATAAGGGATATTGTAATTTTTAAATTTGTAGAGTATATTTACCCGATAACATTAATAGAAACAACAAAACAGCTATATGTAAAAACAAAACTAGGAGGAACTACGGGACAGAACTAACTCAAACTCTTAGTGAGTGTGTTTATCATTATTTTTGTATTTAGTTATTGAAAATGATTAAAGATAAAAGTACAGTAAGAAGACAATAAGCAAAATCAAGAAAAAGAAAACTATTAGGTAAATAATCAAGCCATGAAATAGAAGACCTTAGAAAAAATAACAACTTTTGGGAAAGCAAGACAAAATGTGCAGAAAACACAGAAAACAAAAAAATTCATTGTCATTGTCAAAACATCGACATTCATATTGTCTTAATTTATTTTAAATAGACTTGCGACTGATTTGGGATAAACCAGTTATATAGCATTTCACAAAGCTTCAACAAGCCTTCGAAATAGATCTTCAAGCAGAAAACTTTTAAATAGTGATAGGGTTAAATAAGGGTATAAGCTAGCCCCACTATTCTTCATCCTTGCTTTTAAATAACCGATTATAAGACAGCTGAATAAAAGAAGAGCCAATTTTCTAACAAATAAATCAATATATGTCGACAACATTAACATCATGTTCTGGAGAGCAGAGACGAAACGAAAACATATTCGCAATTAAAAAGAGCCGCCAGGGAAACTAAAAATAAACACAAAAAATGCCAAAACATTAACACTGACAAGATAATGGGGTAACCAGGTCCTCAAACAAAAGAGAAATACGAACCAAATAGAGTAGACGATATTTAAATATGAGAAGTACAACTAAATACTTGAATAGAGAGAACAGAAGATGCAGAAATGCAAAAAAGAATATTCAACTGCACTTAAGCCTTTCTCGCTGACTCACATATTGAGCTTTCAAAGTGTACACCGGTAATTGAAGATTAAGATTTATGTATCCATCATGAGACGTAATGTAGCACCTAACGGTATTATTTTATATACGCGAGACATGGTAAAACAAAAAAAACTAAGAACTTGTGAAATAAAAATGGTTAAACATATCTGTGAGTCAATCACAGCAAATGGAATAAAGAGATTCATACACAACCATAAACTTTACAGAATGTTGAAACAAAATAGCTGTCTCAGATCTAATAACCGAATTGCCAACAAAGCTGAGGTGGCGGGTTGGCGGTCTCATTAGTCTAGTCCCAGATTCTTAATGTGTGGTTTTTGTTGTATAAACATCGTTTATACAAAATGAGTAATTCTAAAGGTAAAAATAGTGCTAATAATGAAAATAAACAAATAAAAAGAAGAAAAATGCGGTATTAATCGTTTCAAGTATAAAAGTAAAGTAATTAAGAAGGCTAAAATAAAGGGCGAGGTACATATTAATCATGTGGGAAAAAGATTATGGCGCGAAAAACTGTAATTAATTGCAGCTGCCACAATAACTGTGGCAAATTACTCAGAGTTAGACAGAAAAAAATGCTTTATTTGTGTCTTTACACCAGTTGGATGACAAAAATTCCTAAGACTCTTAGTTACAAGGTATGATAGAATTATCATCTATTAAGAGAATCAAAAAATTCTTCTTCTTCTTGTAGTTCCTTCTCCTATCGGAGGTTGGCTATCATCACAGCTATCCGTACCTTATTGGCGGCTGCTCTAAAAAGATCTACTGAGCTGCAACTGTACCACTCTCTTAGGTTTCTCAGCCAGAAAATTCTTCGTCTTCCTATGGATCTTTTACCCTTGATTTTACTTTGCATTATGAGCCTTAATATCTCATATTTCGCACCTCTGGTAATGTGACCTAAATATTCCAGCTTTCTTGTTTTGATGTGCTTTATGACCTCGTAATCCTTTTGTAGCCTTCTTAATCGTTTTGCATTTGTAACTCATTGTATCCATGGTATTTAGAGAGACCCCATACCCATACCCCATTTATAAGAGACCCCATACCTTTTTATTTCATATTTGTTTGAACGGAGTCTGTAATAAGATATACAGATGAGCTTTTTTGAATTTATTTGGGGTTGGTGAAAAGTATATTTGACGTTTATGTCACCTACTAACTGCTGGAACCACTTTAAGCGATAATATTGGTAAATCTGTGAAATCCCGTCATCAATTGATATCAGGAGAGGTATGTTTTCAAATAAAGGAACACGTTGAATCGTTTGATCTGAAAGTTCATTATTTTAATAATGTATTGAAAAAGTATATGCCTGCTACATTAGATGTTAAACTAGTTTTTACTTACAATATTTTCATAAAAATTTAACTTATATTTTTGGTCGTCCTCAAGTTAATGTTTATTTTACCTGTTAAGAACTTGACCAGAAAATTAAAACACAACCTTTAATGAGAATACAAAACGAGTTGCTACTGCAGAACTTTTAGTTCACAAAAAGGACTAATAAAATTAAAAAAAAAAGTAGAACACACCAAACAACCATCTTTAGAGAACGATGTAATACTGGAAATTACGATGGACTAAGTGCAAAATTTTTACCTAACATACCTGTACAGAAAATTTTCTATTATCGCCAGCTGCGGTATTTCGAGTTCAGTATACATAACTTAAAAATAGGAGAAGCTAAATTTTTCTCTTATCATGAGAGTGAGGTTCACAAAGGACTCAATGAAGAATGCGCATTTTGAAAGATTATTTTGAGAATGAGATCCCTGAGAATGTAAAAGAAGTTCACATATTTTCAGATGATTTTCTTTTAGCCCATTAGCTATTATATTAAAATTTCCACTATTTTCCAATAAGAGGGCAATCATTCCTTTCCTGCGACAGAGATCTTGGTGTAGCTAAAATACATTCGCAAACATGACCGCATTTTTCTTCCTGAAGAATATTATGACCTACTTGAGAAATCCTCTAAAAAAGCTTTCTTCCCATTACAGAAGCAAAAAATGATAACTTTTGGGTTTTAAGGCTTAGGATTTAAGAGGTAGTGGCCCAAGTACTACATATTGTCCCTCGACTATATGAAAATAAGCAAAAGATCAAAAAACGACTTTTAATTTTTCTCAGTATAATGAGTTCGAATATGATTGCAACAAATCTGGGATTGTTGTACGTCCGTTTATTGATGGGCTTATTTTCTAGGAATTTTGGCAAGAGCAGATTAAGTTTGTCCTAATCTACCAACAAAGCCTTCTTACGCAGGAAAAATCTCTATTAATTACAAAAAATTAAAAATTTGAAGAAACTTGTGCAGTATGTACCAGAAGAAAAGATTTTTTTTATATCAAGATGATGTTATGGCCTACGACCATTGATGATGAGCCACTAGAAGAGGACTACTAATCTACTAACTGCAAATCTTGGAACTTCTAAATATGTTTTTTCAAGTAATATATTATTCCATTAATAATGCAAGAGTTTTAATAATGATACAATATTAATAAAAGCACAGGTATTTGTAAATGTATATAGAAATAGACAAATGATGAACTAAAAACTAATTATCAAAAGCATTAATAGAACAAATAATAAATTAGAAGAGAAATTTCTGAAAGAAAATAGAAATTGGCAAAACAGGATTTAAAATCCTACATCTAAATGTCACAAAATAAATAAAAAAAAACAAAAATACAGAATTTTGAATTTTTTCCGATTTTACACATTTGGTTTGATTATTACTTTTGTTCAAAGAGCTTTTTATTTCAAAACTAAACAATTTCCTAACGCTTAAAAATAATCGTAAAAATTGAAGTTATACACGTATCGTATGCAGATTTTTATGATTTATAATAGTCATGCAATAACGTTTTTAATTATTACGAAATATATGAAGACTACATCATGTTGAGGCGTAAAGACAGTAGTTGTTTGATGTATATCTACCTAAATCATTTAATGAGACAGGAGACTATTACACTAATTGCTTTTGATTTGTTAAAGCGTTTATTTATACCGGTTTTTGCAATTCCTTCATCAGAGAAGTAAAGTTTAAAAGCACATTGGAAATAACGATCATTTTCTGAAAGTAGTAGAACAATAATTAGTGTGTACAGTAGAAAAAAATAACACAATCAAGAAAACTATAGAAATCTATAATATAATTAAAATTGTATGAAATAATTTGAAAATATTACATATTTGTTGCTGATAGCAAAAGGAAAGCCCTAAATTAATTCCAGTGACGTAAGAGAAGATGTGCAACTGGTACATGTTCATGAGCCATCCAGAATGTTAACCCTTTTATTTTTACTTCGTATGAAGCATAGTATCTGGAATACTCAATGAGACAAGTCGCTGTCGTTATTTTTAAGTCGATATTATTTTAACTATGTCTATAGACAGACAAAAATATTGTTCGCTCTGTCGCTTTCCACCTAATCATTTATTACATTGGTTCATCTGTGACGGTCATTTTTTCATAATGTTTTTTGACAAATAAAATAAAACTACGAAAGCAGTACGATAAACATTATTTTTTCTGCCTTTTCTTTTCCATGAACCCACATTCACCCACTCCTGGATACATGTCTATCATACTTTCCTCCACTGATCTCTATTATATGCATGGCTTAAAGAAGAAATTATCTTGGTTGAGGAATATCAGAGATTTGAATAACCTCAATGTTGAACAGATATTTAACGTTGAAACAGATAGGGAAGCGTTTAAAGAACTGATCGCCAACCTTCGTTAGAAGACGGTACAAGAAGAAGAAGACATCATGCGTAGTAGCGAGTTAAAAATTTCGAAGTGCTGAGACGACTACAAAATAATTGCCAAATCATAAGAACTAATAAAGTAAGAACATTAGAATGCTTAGACCATAGTACCTTGTTCTTTATGTACCAGAAGGTTGGCGACCATCATAAGATATCTTAGTCTATTTTATGCCGCATGTATTATGTTTGCAGCTTTTGGTATTTGGAATCATTCCCTTATGTTTCTCAGCTAGGTTTTTCTTTCTTCCTAAACCATCACACATTCCATCATATCAGTTCCATATCTTTATTCATTCGTCTCAATACCTCTGCATTCATTTTGTTTGTTCAAGGTATTCTCAGTATGCGTCGATAGAGTCACATTCCTAAAGCATCGAAGTTTCATATAGTTGCTACCGTTATGTAATGTTTACCAAAATTTAAAAAGGAAATTCCGAGTGGTTGGTTGTATACGATAGTTTTTAAAAAAAATACTATGAACTAAAAATTTCTTTGTAAAATGGTATAAAATTTATTAAAAATTTTAAACATTATCCAAAATGGATTTGTAAGTTTTCAGAATGTTTTTAATTCTATAGAATCATCATCAGGGAAATACCTACAAATAAGTATTACTGCTTAAAAATGAGAACAAAAGTGTAAAATTTTAATAAGGGATGATAAGAGATTACATTTTTTAGGAAAACAAAAAATTCCTGGCTCGAAAAAGGACTTTTCCACTGAATAACTAACTAATGGCAGAAAGAAGTAAAAATTGCTTGAAAGTGATAAGACCTTCAAGATAAGTGATAAATAGTTTTTAAAGTGTGATCAGATAATGTATATTCATTCAGGGTGTTATTTTAAATAAAATTTAAATTGAAGTTTTGTTATTGTTTTAAATGCTATTGGATTGTATGTATATTAGTTTTTAATGAGTTAAATTGAGGTTCAGTGTATAATACAATTATGTTGTTGACAAGATAATTGTATTGTGAATAATTGAAAAGTAAGATAAATATTTGTCTCCGAGACATGTCGTCACTCAATTAACTGAATTATTTAAGTCAGAATTTTAGACTGAATAACAATACTAAAACAGTTTGTATTTAAATAATATACTGTTGATAGTATGAGATTTTTATACTCATCATGAAGAATAGGGGTTTTTATAAAATTTAAAAGAGTGTTAATGGTTGACTATGTGTAAGTATCTGTGTGAATACAAGTTCATGTGTATGGAATACGTGTGGAGTTTCAAAAACAGAAAAAGGTGTATGAGTAATGTAGAGAGTACGTAACATTTCGTAGCGCGCCGTAGGATAACGGTTGGGTTGCGGTTGCATAAAAGCTTTTTCATGTGTATTAATCTATATCGTATACTTATTATTTACTGTGTATCTAGATATTTAAACCGGTGTACTGCTTCAATTTTCGGTTTAAATATGCAGGGCGATATTTTGGTTGTTCTTTTTACTAATCACCATAAATTTGGTTTTCTTTTTGTAGATCTAAGTCCAAATTGGTTACCTGTAGTATTTACTCTACTAAGTATCATCTGTAAATCCATGATGCTATCGGCCAGTATAGCCCTATTGTCTGTATGTCGAAGATTGCTTATTGGTACGCCATTAATCTTGATACCTTTATTGCAATCTTCCATTGCCTCAACAAATATTTGTTTCAAATATAGGTTGAATAACAGTGACAGAAGAATGCAGCCCTATCTAATCCCCTTTAAAAAGGGTTATGTTTTGACCCACCATATGCCCATACTTAATGTGGGCTGTTTGATTCCAATACAGATTTTTAATAATCTAGATGTTCTTAGTGTCAAGTCTTAAAAGATATATTAGTTCTATAAGTTTGTCATGTTTGCTATTGTCTAATCTTTTCTCATACATTTACTCTCATGTATACAACTTTCTGTTGATCCAGGAATTTTTAAACCAACAGTTGCGTTGCAAAGACGCTCTCACGTTCCAGATCTGCATCTAAAGCCTACCTGTGTATCGTTCGTAAATATGAGTACTAAAACCTTTCATACAAGGAAGATTAATCGTAAAAAAGCATATGCCAAGCAAGTATTTTGAGAAACCCTTGAAACTAATATAATTAAAGCTCAGTTGACATTTTTAGAACGGCTGCCAATAACTTGCAAACTAGGGAGGTGTAGTTCACCATCGAAATAGTTCTAATGAACGGTTCTTTCAACTGAACTAATTGAACTAGTTCATTAATTTTCATAGAACTATCTCACTGCGAACGATTTGCATTATAAATTATGTCTCGACTTCTAAAGAAGAAAATAATGAATGAATTAATTAGAACATATATTTATTATTTTGTGAATGGATGGACTAACTAGTTTAAAAAAATGCCGATTAGCCTCAGATAACAGATTCATAATTCTTATGAATGTGACAATAACATAAAGTCTTATCTTAATGTCATAATGGTTCGGATCTTATGCCCATGTATTGGCTTGGATGTTGCCATGATGTGTTGTTTCTTGTATTGTAATTTTGAAATAAAAATTTTAGTTGTGGTTAAAATGATTGAGGCATTTACATAAAATATAATTTTATGTAAAAGTGAGAATGAAATTGTGTTATTTAATGTTCCTAGAAAATTCATTGATTTTTTTTTGTAAAGGTTCTTTTAGAAATAACCTAATTATAAATTACTATGAGTTTAAATATACGTAAATATAAAAATAAACCATACTTGAACCATATTTATATTTAAAACGGTTAATAAAAACCAAATCTTAATAATCTTTTGCAAATAAAAACTAACTAATCATATAATAATTTAAACCATTTAAACCTAAACATACGATCGAAAGAAATAGTTCCGAACTACTTGTACGGTAGTGAACTAGTGAAAGACTGACTGAAAGAAAGAAATAGTTCCGACTTCCGAACTACTTGTACGGTAGTAAACTAGTGAAAGACTGACTGAAAACCGAAGTAAACGGGCGGCCAGCGCCGAGCTTGTGTGATGGATGATTGAGACGAGACATCTGGCAACCAGTTCTGTTAGGGTTGGATTTCGATGTCGGTCCTACAAATAGTTCTTTCGCGAACTAGTTCACTGAACTAGTTCATTTTTGTGAAATAGTTCTGTTGAACTAGTTCGTCTAAAAGAACTAATAAGCACACCTCTAATGCAAACAGCTATGGTAGTAAATAACCTCGAATAGGGGAAGGAGCCCTTTGAAGATTGTACCATTCCAATGGAATTTTTCCTTTATTTAGACATTTAATCAACGGAACCTTTATAGATTATCCTTAGAAGTAGTATATCCATTTGCTTAAATTTTTTTAAAGTAATCGTATTTCAGATCCATTTTTACTTAAATAAATATAATTTCAAATCAAATCAATAGATGCTTTGGTCTTTCCACGTATATTATTCTTATTCTTAATCAGAAATACAAAAGCTACCAAATATCCATATACCAAATATGGCAGTTACAGAGTAATCATTTGAATATCAATTGTCCTTACATTTAGTGTTGTGTTACATAAAAATTTCAATCAAATTTAAAGGTAAATTCTATAAGAACTTCGTACCACTAGCTATATTTTAAGGCATTGTGTATTATTAAATTAAATAGAGATAAGAACAACGACTATATGTTGCAGAAATGAAAATTCTTTGGTGAATGAGTAAAGCGATAATCATTTGTTACTTCATTCGTTCACTTGGATTAATTCCAAAATAAGAAAGCATTTGTTAAAATGGTTCCCAATGGTAATCACCAAATATAGAGAATGGCTGAGTGGAAAATTGTTGTAAAGCATAGAAGAGAAAGGCTAAAGAAGACATATTAAGAGAGGGTTATTTGGGACATGTTTGTAAACAGAATTATTATTAGTATGATAGCAAGATGAAAATAGATGGAGAAATATATTTAGGAAAACCTAACCAAAATTGCAATTTTCTAAAAACTAACAATTTCTTAAGATTTATAACATTACAAAAGGCCTTTTTAGGAGTTTAGAAGAATTTATGGACATTTATCATACTTTTTTTGTCCTTTTTAGCATTCACTTCTCTTTTATGTGCATCAGTGCTACAATCACTTCATTTGATATCGGATCTAAGTTTTGATATATCTATGTTGAATCAGGATAATATAAATTCCCTTTTTCTGCTATCGTCTCCTATTTCTTCTAGAAACTTGAGAGTTAGTTAGTCATCATATTTTCATTGTGTCGTTTCTATATTTATTGTATAATTTATTGTTTTAGTCTAAGTAATTTATTTTTCTCTGCATATACAAATTGCAATTGTCAAATATTGGTTTATATCGCGAATTTAGAATTATATTATACAATTGTATTTTCTTGTAATAAACTTAATTTGAATGGATAAAACATTATTATACTTACTTTCTTTGCCACCTGACTACAGGATCAGCAGCTACGTCACTCATATCGATGGTCTTTCCTTTAACCTTAACGTCTTCATGCTTTTTCATCATCAGCCATCCTACGTGACAGAAGAAGAATCCACGACTGGAGTTATGAGGATCGGCATTGGTGTCTGTGAATTTGTGATGGACTCTATGATCCCTGACCCATTCGTAGATGTCGTTCTGCAGAGCTGCTGTCTGTCCCAACATCAACCATATCCTGAAGGGCAGTTTCGCTTTGTAGGCTCTGTGCGCCCAGAGACGATGTGCTCCTCCAGTCACCCCTGTACTGGCAAATGATAAGTAGACTGCGCCTAAAATGACAAGAAGGAGAACCCAATTAGATTTAAAATTAATTATCTTGTGGGTTCATTTAAATAACATGTTGATGTATAGAAATAAAAAAATAAAAGGTGGTGTACTTCATGTAATGATCATTTCATATCATAATAGAGCATGGAGTTCTAACAAATGCATAAATAAGAAGACTGAATAAAGATCTCCATTGAACCTGACTTTTAATTTTATTATACATTATATCGTGAGTGAGCTCTTTTATATTATACATTATATTATATTCTTTTCTATTATACATTATATCGCAATTTGCAGTGAGCTCTACAAGAATGGTGGCGATGCCCTAATACAGACACTGCATAAGCTTTTACTTCTTGTTTGGCATAATGAGACCATGCCTTGTGAATGGTCTCAAGGCGTGATATGCCCGTTACATAAAAAAGGTGACCAGCTCCAGTGTGACAACTATAGAGGTATAACCCTGTTAACAACTGCTTACAAAATACTAGCAAATATTCTCTACGAAAGGTTGAAGTTTACACAGTGGGCATAATTGGTAAATATCAAGTTGGATTTACTTCAGAAAAATCAACAATTGACCAGATTCATTCAATAAGACATATTCTCGAGAAAACATTAGAATTTAATATTGAAACCCATCACCTATTCGTCGATTTTAAGGCCGCATACGAAAGTGTCAAGAGAACAGTGCTATACCAATCAATGCATGAGTTTGGTATACCAGAGAAACTTATCCGACTAACGAGAATGACAATGTCTAACTTAGAAGCCACTGTTAGAATACAGGGAGAGAGTTCTAGATCCTTTGAGATAAAGGATGGACTCAGACAAGGAGATGCTCTGGCTTGCCTCCTATTTAATATTGCCTTAGAAAAGGCAGTCCGAGATACACGAATTAGGGATGGCGGTACTATTTACAAGATAGATGTTAGATCGATACAAGTCTTAGCATATGCTGATGACATTGACATAGTAGGGCGTAGCAAGCGAGATGTTGAGCAATATCTCCTAGAATTGGAAACAGCGGCGAAACAGGTCGGTCTAGTCATCAACGAAGACAAAACCAAGTACATGTTAGTTACAAAGGATCCGATAGCAAATGAGGAACGAGAAACAGTCTTTGGAAGTCATACCTTTGGACGTTTTGACAACTTCACATACCTTGGGTCGCTATTGACTGCTACCAATAAAACAAGCGAAGAAATCAAAAGACGAATAAATCTTACAAATAGGGCATACTCTGGACTCCAAAAGCATTTCCACTCAAGAACATTCAAAGAAAAACTAAAATTATTATATACAAAACATTGCTGAGGCCGGTCCTCACATATGGAGCAGAAACATGGACTCTAACGCAGAAAGATGAAAGATTTTTGGGAATATTTGAGCGTAAAATACTCCGCAAAATATTTGGAGCTGTAAACGACCAAGGGCAGTGGCGCAGAAAATATAATTTTGAATTGTATCAGCTCTTTGATGAGCCAGATGTCATAACGTTCATTAAAACATAGCGACTTAGATGGGCTGGACACATAATACGAATGCCAGAAAATACCATTGCTAAAAAGCTAACCACACCTGTAGGAAAAAGAAGCAAAGGCCGACCGCGAATTAGGTGGTTAGATGGAGTAGAAACCGACTAACGAATATTAAAAATCAGAAGATGGCAACATGTTGCCAAAAACCGAACAGAATGGCGACGAATCTTAGAGCAGGACAAGATCCACAGAGGATTGTCGAGCCAAAGATGATGATGATACATTATATCGTAGGTTATGCAGTATGTGAAAAATCTTTCTTCTCAATTATTTTCTGAACTGTTTAATTTAAATTAATAAATTTTAGATGAAATTATATGGTAGGTAACACATTATTTAAGAGTTCTTATGCCATTCCAAGTATGCTATGATTGTGTGTAATTTTGTTGCGCTGTTTCTAAATGATCCTGTAGCATAGTAAAACAGTTTCCATAGAACTTCTGTTAGAAATGGACGGTAGGATATAATGTTGTCTTGATACAGAGCTCTGGATATACCTGAGCCAAATAAAAGGACCATCAAGTATTGGCGGATAGCTTATATATAGCAGAATTTCCCGAGGACGTCTATATTATCTTATTCCAAATAAGTGTGTATCGTTTTTTGTGTTGTGTTATTTAAATTAGCAAAGTTTAGGTAATGATGTTAATTTACTAGATATTTTTACCAATACATATCGTCCCGATATATTATGTTTTACCGAAAATGGGACATCCCGTGATAAAATTTCTAATCTTGAATTATGCAATTATGTTTTATTTATTTATTATTCGAGGAGTTACCACGTTTACATAAGTTGGTAATATTAAGGCGTTTTTTGTGTAGTTTCTGAATATCTAAATAGAATAATACGGATATATGCGAAGGTGGTCATTTGTGGAGATTTCACTAGATAAATGTCTAAATTAGGCTATATGCCGACGAAAACACTTACAAGAATCTATTTATAAATTAGAGATATCTATATAATTAGGTCAATGTCAGTAGGCGTGCAATTCTCCCTACTAAAAACAAAATGCATGCTTTTCTCAAGAAGGCACCGGCCACAGAGAACATCTTTAAAACTGTATGGCGAGCCGCTCAAATTCTCAGAAAAAATTAATTTTCTCGGAATGGTATTTGACCAAAAACTAACATGGAAACAACGTATTTTAGAAATAAAAAAGTCTTGCCTGCCAAAATGGATTAAATGTAATGGAAACAATATCAAATACAAAATGGGGATCCGACGAAACCACGTTATTAAATATTTATAAGTCACTCGTTAGATCAAAAATAGATTATGGGGCTATTGTGTATGCCTCCGCTAAAAAACATGTTACCAAGCAACTTGAAGTCATTGAGAACACAGCACTTCGCATTGCCATAGGCGCATTTAGAACCACACCAGTTAAGAATCTCCAATGCCTCACAGGAGAGCCACCTCTTAATCTACGAAGAAATTATTTATGCCTTTTGTATGCAGCATCAGTCGCCAGCAACAAATTCCACCCAGTATTTCAAAATGCATTTACTGACCGTTACCTAGAAGCTTATAACAAAAGTAGGTTCGATCCACCATTCTACGAAAGAGTTCGAAGAAATGTAAAAACTCCACCTTCCTGGTTAATCATGATTTTTGAAATCAATACGACGCTACTCCAATATAACAAATCAGATACCTCACCCACTGTAATCCGACAGTCATGTTTAAAGGAACTCGAGACTTACGGGAAAAGCTTTTGCATTTATACAGATGCCTCCAAATCTGCAAATTACGTAGGAGCAGCAGTTGTCACTCCATATTCCTCTTCCCAATTTAAATTAATGCCAGCCACTTCTATATACACAGCAGAATTATATGCAATATTACAAGCCCTCATTCGCATCAAAAGTACAAACCATTCTTCTTTCGTCATTATCACAGATTCTCTAAACTCCTTAACAACAATCGGTCAACTATATACTAAGAACCCTGTAGCCTTACTTGTCAAGAAAGAACTTGCTGCCTTACAAGAATCTGGTTCAGAAGTCAAATTTATGTGGGTTCCATCTCACACGGGAATACATGGTAATGAAAACGCAGACCTCCAAGCAAGAGAAGCTACCAAAAATGATCAAGCCATAATAGTGTCAAAGACTATCTGCAGTGATATAAAACAGTTCGTTAAAGAAAAAGTGATTAGTGCGTGGCAAAATAAGTGGAACTTATCGGAATCTAAATTAAAATAAATTAAATCGACAGTGAAACCGTGGCGCCTAGTAAACTTAAAAAGAGCTGACCAAGACAAAATTTCTCGACTTCGATTAGGTCACACCAATATTACTCATAAGCACCTAATAAGTAAAGAAGACATTCCAGTGTGTGATTACTGTCAAGTCAATATTACTGTTAAACATCTCCTAACAGAATGTGGAAAATATACAGTTAACAGACAAAATAACAATATTTCCAGTGACTTAAAAACAGTATTAGGTGAACATTTAAATACTAAAAACTTAATTAGATTTCTAAAAGAAACATCTTTATATAATTTAATATAATGTAGTAACTAATGTAAACTAATGTCGCTAATGATCCAGGTGGTTGAAGCGACTTTTATTAGTAAATAAAAAAAATGTCTAAATTCAAAACAGGTAAATTGTTTTTGACTTGCTAGCTCAAATCTCACACATCCCCATCTACCCGAGTTGCAAAATATGGTAATACTTTAACCAAGTCATCAGTTGACTATTTAATTACAAACATAGACTTTAGTTTAGTTTGTTTTTAACGCTTCATTTACACAAATATTGTAAAAATAAATCGAGCAAATATTTAAATTTAATATTTAAAATGGAATACTCTAGAGTTGAAATATGAGATAGAAACTCTTAAATACGAAAATTGGATACCAAAAAGCTTTGTATGTGTGGAATTGAACTAGAAATGAAGAATATAAAATTAACAAAAGTAATACGAACTGTTAAGCTACATTGCAAACTTATTTTATTTTTATTTATTTTATCTCAAAATAAAACAAAACCAACTTAATAATTCATTAACACAAAATTAACTAAAAAAAAACACGTCATCCCAGAACAAACTGAATTTTATCGAAAATGACAATTTTGAGACTTCAACCACTCCTACCCCTGGCTTTCGCCTAGAACCCCCCCTCATAATTGTGAAAAAACGGTAATTTAATGTCATTTAGGCACGCGAAATCAAATTTAAACAAAATTTGTATCAACCCGACGGTAAAAATTCGATATCTTTTGCTCAGAGCGTCCTATACACAAAAGTAAAAATGCGTGTTAAATGCTAAAAAAAGGTAAAGATTGCAGCTTTCGTACGCAATTTTTAAATTCTGCTGCAAATTGTTAGTTTTTATAAAGATGTTAAATAAATAAACGGTTCGTGATGTTTGCCATTCTTTACGGTTCTCATAATATTAATAAAATTTATTACTTCCATTGACCTGTCACTATGTAATTTC